TAAAATTTACAATATGTTTATATAAATATTTATAATTTTTTCTGAATTTTTGAGGATTTTCGGAACACATTTGATGAGGTTTTTGCAAGGTCAACTTCAGAGTTTACTAATGGATAAAACTGCAAAAAAGAAAAAATGAAGGTAAAATCGCCCATCCATGCGGGCAGCAGGCAGCAGGGGCCAGCCTAGGTGTCACGCCTGTGCTAAGTGGCGCCGAGTGGCAGTCCATTGGCTGGATCGTGGGCCAACTGGAGGAGGAATCATGGACCGTGGGCAATGAAATGGAGGCAAGAAGACATAAAAAGAGGGAACGGAAACTGCACAGGGCATCTTCAGTTTCCTCTTTGAATCTTACTGGAGAGCCACCAGCCGACGCTGCCGCCATCCCTAGTGTACCCACAGCATTGTATCTTCGTTTCGGGAAGCACAAACGTGGAAATGAGGCACGTATTGCGCACATTTGTTCGAGTTTAGCCCCATCTTTTGATTTTTCGTGAAATCTGTTGTGCATACTTTTGGGCATATTTAGATTAGTTGAATCTTCTTTTATCCATGACGGGCTTAAAATTTGTTCCAAAAAAATAAAGCGCAGAATCATTCGCAATCGATCCCGCAAGAACTAACGACGGACCTCGATTCCGTCGATGGATGACGTCAGCCGATTTCAGAGAAAAACAATTTATTATTTGTTTTGAAGAAACAATTGTAGAAATTAATATATTTATATAAAAAAAGAAAATTTGGCATAAAATCAAGATTATTCCTGTGTTCGACTTGGAGGAATCCCACTAATGTTGGAGCTAAATTGGAATTTATATTAAATAATATTTCAACATATTAATTGCTAAAGTTCCAAAAAGGCTATTTTCCTATATAAAAATGTAAATTTGCTAAGATTACTTGACAACAGCTGATCTACAACAATTAACATGCTTAGCTTTTGTAGAGATTCACCTAAAAACTCTCTTTTAATTCATGACTCTAGGATGTCACACAATTGTTTCACTGAAACATCTCCACATAAATTTCTCTCTGAAATTTTCTTTTAGATTCATGAATCTAGAAGGCCTGACCATTTTTTATGGGCACAACTCCCCCCTGTAATAAATAAAAATTTAACTTCATATTTATCACACAATAAGAATAAGCGATTTCCAAGGCTGATAACGCATCACTTTCATAGGATGCCATTATCACTTCAAACTTTACCTTTTCCTGAATAAACTTCATTTATCCTTTCCCTTAAAAATTTCATTATGACTCTCTTTGTCGTCATTTAAATGTCATTTTTCTTCACCAGTTGATGTTAACGAATAACGAAAATTGTTTATTTGTGTTTCTAATTTTTTTCTTACTAACTACCATTAGTTTGTTGTCGTTTAATAGTTGCATAATCTTTAGCATTTATTAACATTGACTAAACTGCATCGTATGAACGTCCTAGAATGTGAAGGTATGGTACTCTTTCTTTGTGATCCTCTTCCCCTTTGTTTTAAACTTTATCTTGCAGGCATCTTTGTTCCCCTTTGTGTTCCAAGTTCGTGCTTTTTCCGGGGTGCAGCCTAACCCTTCATTTGCTCTGAGGGACCGTTGAATGGAACTTCTAAACTACTCAGCAGAAGGAAAGAGGCCTTCATATGAAACATTGGTGTAAAAGATTGAGTGGAATCAGTGAAGTTACCATTAAATACGAGTTCCTTCTCAGTTACCAATCTCCTTCTTGTTGCTGTAGCGTAATGGAGAGATTCCTGTCCCAATTCATTTATGGAGTGGATTACTCATGGGTGTGGCTTGAAAGGATTCCGAGAATATCTAAACACCATAATTATTCGGGTTACTAACTCGATGGTGGTAAATAATATTGTCGCCATATAGCCTTCATAAACTTTGTGCTGAAGCTCAGAAATAAATGTTTCATAGGCTGCACTTCGCTTCCGGTTCTTGGGGCCTGACTTCTGTGGGAGGCCAAGAGGGCCCACTTGGAGACTTGGGGATATGTTCCTGATTTTAGGCAGAGACCACGATCACCATCGAGGTTGAGGGAGGGTATCGGAACTTGACTGGCGCCTGTGATTGGCTCATGATATTCCATGGAGAAATGTTACATATAGAAATTAGGTTGCATCATGTTGAAGTGCATATGGGCTGGCCCCTACTAGATGAGGACCCTATCATACTACTTTTAACACTTTTCAAAATGTCTGATTCGGGCAAAAACGACCACCGTAGTTGGTATCTTCTTTGGTGCACTGAAATCCCTCCCTGTCGCGATGGCCCAGTTGAATGGTTTGAGTTTTTTGAAGTTCCCCGAGAATGGGGGCGCTAGACTTTCAAATTTTGTGACGAATCTGAATTCAAAGTAGGCAGGCACATTGAAAGCTTCGAGATTTATGGAGGTTCAAGAGTCTTGGAGGATCTTCCTGTAGTTGAGACATCGAAAACTAGATGCAGTCTCACAGCTAAGATCTCTCAACAGCTAAGATTACAATGAAGATGCGGGCTGCGAGAATGGAAGGCATACACTTGAAGGGATGGCAAGTAAACACGTGACTTCGTGCACAAGTTGCTTTCTTATATTTTCCCTTTAAATAATCATTAGCAGTGCGGGCTTTCCTACTCTCTGTTCCTGCATTCGTGGCTTACAGGGATCCGGAAGAGACGTACCCCGGAAATGGACACGTCTCAATAATGCTACCACCTACGCTGACTAGGCGTAATCAGTAGGGTCCGTGTCCAGTGCACGTCTCCTCTCTCTTCCCCCACCCCCTACCTTTGGTCCTTTGTGCTGTTGTAAGCGAGAGAGAGGGGGGAGAGAGAGTGTGTGTGAGAGAGAGGCGCTTATGTTGCTTTGTTGACATAGCTTATTTCCAATATGGGAGTGTTATTATTTTCTGTACTTGGTGGGGTCTAGCATCAGTACCATACACGTCCTTTCTAGTTTATTATTTCATCAATCAGCTTCAGTTGGACATTTAAACCGGCAAATGGAAAAATGCAAAGGGTCAAACATATTTGTCATAATCCAGTGATCGAATCCTCCCTAGTCTTATTTTAAGCGAAAACATTATCTCTATAAACTACAAAAGGCACTATTAAAACGTGCAAAACTACTAGGAACATTTGATGATCCAAAAAGTATAACCTGACCAACCATGCGTACAATCTATCATGTCATAAATGTTATCTTCCACTCATTATTGGGTTTAATTTTCAGTTCATTATTACCACTTTTAATTCAATTTTTGAGTGTGCGGTGGCTCTAACTAGCATATCTAACATGTCATATAGTGGAGGAATTGGGAATCTGCACCTTACTGTCAACACATCATTCTAGATCAATAACTTTTCCTCGTAATTCCCTTTACGTCAAGCTTACCACCTGCCTCCTAGCTCAACAAATTTGATGGGAAATTATCAATGGTGTTGTAAGTTCCATAAAAATCATCAAGAGGTCAATTAATGACATGCCAACTGTAGTCACAAGAAGAAGATGATCACTATAAACGAATCAGCCACTGCCAACTAGGGCCGATAGCCCCCCCTATTCGCTCCTGGCCAGCTACCCACTATAATGGCACCCCCCACCTGCATTGGTTGCTAATACTGCTCATTTTTTGAATTTTGTACTCCTATTTTATAGCCATCACTTGTTCAAAAGAGTAATTGTTAATCCACAATTTAAAATTTGCCTGTTAGACAAAATATACAAAACGATCATATGGTATGTGCAACACATTCAGTTCAAAGACCTCAGAAAATATCTCTTCTCAATCAGCCATTTTATAACTCGAGTGTCTCACAAACTGAAAATTTGAGATGAACCAATCAGAGTGACTGACGAAGTCTGAAGTATAAAGGTAATTTTCCCAACAAATCTCCCTTTATGTCTGCCCAAAATCCAATTAAACTGTACTTCATATGAATATACACAGGAAATCATTAGGAAAGAAGTGTCGGATGGCAGTCAATGTCCTAGCCATGACATTCAGCTCTCGCTAGCTTTATATTCCTATGTTTGAGCGAAAATTGGTGCATGACAGTATGAAAAATTATTACACTACGCGGTCTGGGGCTCCTATCCTGTTTTGATGGTCTCAGTCTCATAGTCGTTGAACTTCCTGGAAAGGCTGACAAAATTTGTTGATTTTTAGAGATGTTTGTCAGCCTTTGTATTTTTATGCTCAAGATAGATAATAATTGGAAAGAAGGCAACGGGCTTTACCTACACAAATTATGGGATAGATCCAGAAGATCCAATTCTAATATCAAAATAGCCGTAGATCCGGCATTTTAGATCATCGTGAACCCCTTCACCCCAGGGATCCCCTTCAAAGCAGCAGATCTTGCTGTGACATGCGCCGACACGAGTAAGTCCTCAAGTAAGTCGTTGAAAGATGATTATCCAGGGCACTCTTTGCCATCCACTTTTGTGTTAACAGAAGGGACATGATCTTGTGGGGCTCCAAATCACAATAAAATAAAAATTTAACATTCAGTTAATGATCTTAATTTAGCTGCAACGTCGGTCTACCTGTCAAGGCCGAGCAAGAAAGCCCATCAACCACCCACAGGAATCCAAGCACCTCTTGCGTGATGTGAGTGCACCATAGCCGCAGTTCGTCGATAGTGACAGTTCATCGCCATTTGGAACATAAGCAAAGATGATAACAACCAACGACGGACAGAAGGCGTCCACGTTGCCACCCTATTCCCCTCCGCAGCCTGCGGCGGGGTAAGCATGCGAGGATGTGGTCGAGAGGGGAGAAGTAATCCCAGTAGGTGTACTTTTACCATTCTCCAGACTCTGGTTCTCATTCCATGACAAACTAATAATTGGCAGAGCGCTATTATTGCTCATGCTTTCCACGTTTAGGCCTTCGGGACACTCTTCTAGAGATACTTCGCTGTGTACCAAACCCAGATGAGATCTATAAAGAGCCTAATGAGAGAAGGTAGTGGAAGTGTCTGATCTGGGGAAGGAGGGACTGAAGGATTCAAAAATGGAAAATCAGGTCATGAATGTGAGAAAGGGGGCATGGACTCTAGAGGAAGATGCCCTTCTCGAGAGATGCGTCCTCTAGTATGGTGAAGGGCAGTGGCATCTAATTCCAGAAAGGGCAGGTATGGCTTCATCTTACCTAAATTATGTAGGTTGCATGAGTCTTGAAGTTTAACTCGCGTAGGTTGTTGGGATCAAAGGATCTGGAGAGAGTACGGGGAAGGATCAAAGCACATATGTTTTCAAAGAAAACAAAGTAACCTCTCTACTTCATGCATTTGATCGAACATGTTGAGTACAATTTATAAGAGAGAGCGAGAGTAACGGTCGTTAAAGACAGTTACGATTCGTGGGGCCACGTTTCCACGTAGCTTTCATCTCAGTCATAATAACTTAGAAGAGATGGACGGTCAGGATTAAAAACATTAAAAACTTAAGAAACTATAAACAACTTGAAACAGTCTTCGCTGGGGAAACTACCGGAGTGTTGCCATTTCTGGCGATCTTCACGCTCCCGTTTCTTGACTAGGCTTAACACCATCAATCTCCACTCTAAGCCTAGTATTCCCGCCGTCTTCAACCATGCTTAGTCTTTGATGAAGCTTGCTGAATCGAGTTCTTCCTTGTGGCTTCGTGAGTAGGTCATCTAATTGATCAGCAGAGTTGATGTGCTCCACATTAATTGACTTGTTTTCGAGGTAGGAACGAATGAAATGATATCGAGTATCAGTGTGCTTTGATTTGCTATGATGTACTGGATTTTTTGATAATGCAATTGCTAATTTGTTGTCAATAAACAACTTTACCTAAGTGGGTTTTTTCCATCTTCAGTTCTTCGATGAGCCTGGCCAGCTAGATTCCGTAGCAAGCTGCTGCCGTAGCAGCTACATGGCTTCACAAGAAGAAAGTGCGACAATTTTCTACTTTTGTGAGGTCCAACTTATCGGACTTGATATGAGAAAAAACAGAATTCCAGTTGTGCTTTTCTGGTCGACTGCGTCACCGGTGTGATCACTATCACTATATCCTGTCAAAGTGAAGTCGAATTCTTTTCTATAATGTAATCCGAGATTCATAGTACCTTTAACATATCGGAGAATCCGTTTCAATGCCGCCATATGCTCTGTGGTAGGTGCTTCCACGTACCTACTAAGATAACCCATGGAGTAGGTTAGATCAGGCCGAGTGTGAACTAAATACCTCAAGCTCCTAATTATGCTCCGAAATTTTGTTGGGTCAACTGATTGACTCTTGTCTCCATTACTGAACTTGAAACGAGCTTCAAGCAGTGTGATAGTGGGGTTGCATTCTTACATTCCAGAATGTTCAAGTATTCGTAGAGCATAACGTTGTTGCTTTAAACTAATCATATCTCCGAATTGTTCTATTTCAATTCTGAGATAAGAGGTAAGAAGACCTAGATCACACATCTTGAATTACTTTATCATTTTTTCTTTGAATTCTGAGATGCATTCATCACTGGTTTTGGTAACAATGAGGTCATCCACATACACCTCGGTAATCAAATAAGCTTTGTCAAAAAAAATTGTGTATACAGCGTGTTCTTGAGAGCTTCTAGTAAAATCGAGTGAAATAAGACATTTGTCTAACTTCATATACCATGCTCGAGGTGCTTGCTTCAAATCATAAAGGGCCTTCTTTAACTTATAAACATAATTCTCTTTACCTCTGTGGATGAAACCTTCTAGCTGTTTGACAAAAACTTCTTCTTCAAGTTCTCCATTTAAAAATGCTGACTTGACATCTAGATGATGAAGTCTCCAATTATTTTGGGCCGCAAGAGCAATTATTACTCTAACTGTCTCCATTTTTGCTACTGGGCAAAAACTTCCTCATAATCAATGCCCAATTTTTGAACATACCCTTTTGTGACCAATTTGGCTGTGGCCAATTATTTCCCCTTGTAAGTTTCTCTTTGTCTTAAAAATCTATTTAAAACCGATGGGCTTGCAGTTCTTTGTGGCCGGAGTGAGAATCCAAGTGTGGTTTCTCACGATTGCTTCAATTTCTTCTTCCATGACTTTTCTCTAAATTTCTTGTGAGGCCGCTTCTTGATATGAGGAGGGTTCTTCGATCATTAGATTGCATTCCTCTATTTCTTCATAGACTTGAGATATATCTTTAAATCTTCTAGGATGACCTCCTTCTGATGATGAAGAAATATCTTGGTTTTGAGCAAGAGAGTCGTCGAGTATTGGTGGAGAGACAACTTGGTCGTTAGGATTTTCTTCTGCATCATCGGAGTTAACACAAGTGGGTAAGCAAAGTGTACCTTTGCTGGGTTGCTCTGAGGAATTCCACCCCCATTGACTATTTTCTTTGAAAATCACATCTCGACTAATGTGAGCTTTATTTTCTTGAGGATCGAAGCATCTATAAGCTTTAGTCCCCACTTTGTATCCTATGAATATCATAGGTTTGCTTTTGTCTTGTAGCTTGGTCAAGTGTTGTCCAAGTATATTCACATGAACCAGTGAACCAAATACTCTAAGGTGAGCCACATTTGGTTTAGATACGCACCAAACTTCATATGGTGTGACTTCATTGAGGCTCTTTGTAGGTGATTGATTGAGGATGTAGATGCTTGTGTTCACGGCTTCACCCCATAGCTCCAGTAGTAAATTCTTGCTTCTCAACATGCATCGAACATTTTCCATAATAGTTCGATTTTTTCTCTCAACAATCTTGTTTTGCTGAGGTGAGTAGGGGGCTGTGAGATGTTGTTTGATTCCATGTTGAGAACAAAAAGAATCAAATTCTGTAGAATTAAATTCTCCCCCTTTATCAATTGGGGAAACACCGATTTTGACTTTCTTCTCTATCTCGGCCATGGTTTTAAACCTCAAAAATGCCTGAAAAGCTTCATCTTTTGCTTCAAAAAAGCAATCCACATTATTCGGGAGTAATCGTCTATAATCAGGAAGAAATATCGATTTCCTCCGTATGTGCTTAGCGTGATCGAGCCACAAAGATCTTCATGGATCAGCTCCAGTGGAGAGCTAGCTCTGAACAGTGAGGTAGAGGGGAAAGTATGTCGAGGATGTTTAGCAACTACATAATCTCGACATAGACTCTTGAGCTTTTGAAGTGGAGGCAACCCTTGGACAACATTGGGAAGTGACTTTAGAGAGTTGAAATTAAGGTGGCCATACCTCCGATGCCAAATCCACTCGGTCTCATCTTCTTTTGAGACAAGACAATGATCATTAATTGTCAGTTTCAGCGGATAAAGACTTCCCTGCGTCTTCTTTACTCGTGCTAGAAGTCTTCTTTGTTGATCGAGGATTGTGAGATAGCCTGATTTCATCTCGATTTTGAATCCTTGATCATCTAAACGGCCGAGGCTGAGTATGTGAGTCTTGAGTCTAGGAGCATAAAGTACATTACTGAGGGTCAACTTACTTCCGTCTTGACAACTTACTAGAATGCTGCCTTTGCCTCGTATGGCGATGCTGGAGCCATCACTGAATTTCACCACTCCTCCAGTTGATTCAGTGAGGTCATAAAATAGATTTCGATCTCTAGTCATGTGATTTGTGGCACTTGTGTCTAGGTACCACATTCCGTCTTCGATTTGAGTCTCCATTGTGTCTTGTAGTAAAGTTGCCATTAGAAGCATTGACTTGGCCTTTTCTTCAGTCTTCGAGAGGTGAGCTTTCTCCTCCTTTTTGTCTACATAGCATTCAGATGCATAATGCCCCATTTTGTCACAGTTGTAGCATTTCACTGTGGATTTGTTACGAGGCAATTTTCATCCTCAGTCACGCCCATGACCTCGACCACGTCCTCTGCCGCGGGCAATTCCACCCTTTGTTTTCTCAGTCCCGTGAGAAAGGACTTGTTTTTCTTTTTTCTACTGATGAGACTTGAGCTTCTCTTTGTAGATCTTAAGAGATCCCATTGTTTCTTCAAATGGCAGGGAGTCGATGTCGCCAAATTGCTCAAGAGACACCATAATTGGATCAAATCTTCTTGGTGTTGCTTGAAGAAGCTTCGCAACAACAGCACCTTCCTCTAGCTTTTCACCCAAATTTTTGATTTGAGCGACAACTCGTGATAGTTTTCCGGCAAAGTCTGTCACAGTTTCATCATCCCCAATTTGAAGCATCTCAAATTCTCGCCTGAGACCTTGAAGTCTAGATTTCGTGAGATGGGTCACTCCCACGTACGTCACTTTGAAGAGCTCCCAAGTTTCTTTCGCCATTTTTGTGATGTCGAGTTGTGTCTAGATATCTTCCGACACGGCTCCGAGCATCACAAAGAGGGCTTGCCGATCCTTCTTCCTTGCTATTGTCTTCAACTCAATAGCATCCCATAAGCTGTGAGCCTCCAAGTGGAGTTGCATACGCATCGCCCACACTGGATAATTGGTCTTATTCAAAACTGAGAACGTACCTAGATATCTGGCATCTCCAGGTCCTTTCACAACTCCGCTTGCAGCGAGTGAGCTCTCGCCTTCCGTAGCATCTCCACAATGCGGCATCTTCTGTCTTCTCTCCAGAACTTGTCGCTTTGATACCAATTATTGGGATCAAAGGATCTAGAGAGAGTATGGGTAAGGATCAAAGCACGGATGTTTTGAAAGAAAATAGAGCAACATCTCTACTTCATCCATTTTATTGAACATGTTGAGTACAATTTATAAGAGAGAGCGAGAGTAATGGTCGTTAAAGACAACTACGATTCGTGGGGCCACGTTTCCACGTAGCTTTCATCTCAGCTATTATAACTCAGAAGAGATGGATGGTCAGGATTAAAAATATTAAAAACTTAAGAAACGGTAAACAACTTGAAACAATCTTCACTGGAGAAACTGCTGGAGTGTTACCATTTCCAACGGTCTCACGCTTCCGTTTCTTGACTAGGCTTAACACCATCATAGGTCTCCCTTCCAGAATATGAAGCGAAAAAATAGGATTCATACTCACATAGAAGTAAAAACACTGATGGCAGATTAGTTTTTTTTCGTAGTATGAACGAGTATGTTCCGTCATCCTCTGATAAATTTTCAGGTTTGAGATGCTGCCATAAGAGCTGCCGTCTGAGGTGGCTCAACTATCTGAAGCCGAGCATCAAACGTGGGGCGTTTCAGAAGGACGAAGTCGACGTTATCATCAGGCTTCACAAGCTCTTGGGGAACAGGTTAGTTATTAGAGAAAACTTTCCCCAAGAATGAGCTCCGTTCAACATCGAGGCTGTGACTCGTATGTCAAACTAGGCATGTTTGATGTTCCACGTGGTCACTTATAGCTAGTAGAATTCCAGGCAAAACAACGAACGACATCAATAACTACTGGAACTCCTGCTTGTGCAAGAAGGTGGGATGTATAGGGGAGGATGCCAGGAAGTTCAACATAAGAAATACCATCTGCTTGACTATGGAGAAGTACAATTCCTACCTATTAGGACAAGCTAGTGTGTCGCCTCGTCTAGCTCACTCCCCAGAAGCTATGGTTGGTTGTCGCCACGAGATTTTCAGGCCTCAGGCTCGAACCTTGTCCGAGGGCCCAATCTGCCTACCAGTCATTATCACGTGCCGTGAATTCCTCCCTGCCAGACGGTGCTTTTCCTCTACAGATGAGAGGCCCAACAGCGGACAATATCTCCTGGCGTGGACAAGGCTTCTACCGGAAGACAATGAAAAAGATCAGAGACAATGGGAAAAAAAAGATGCCATCTCTTGTCCACTCGAAGAAGAGCTGCTCCATTGGGCACCTCAGACAGATGAAGAGGTGGAAGTAGGTTGGTGGCCGCTAGGATGGGAGGACATTCTGTTGGATGTCAATCTAATGTCTGGGTACTATCCAGGTTGACGCCGTTCCAGGAGAGCGAGCTTTCAACAGTACTCGATGAACATAGTCCCCCACGTGGGTAATTTCCCCAGTATTGAGAGAAAGCTTGCATTTCAACAATAGTCGTTTTAGAGTTGTTAGAATTTATCTTTATTTACTAACACAAAACTGAGAATATGATTTTAAGATCTTATCCCCAATTAGATTTCAATAATTAACTTTTACTCCCAAATGGGTAATGATAATTTTCAACTTTATTTAGGGTATCTACATGAGATGCATAAAAAGTTATTTAAACATAAATTTATATTTAAATAGTTCAATATTAAATAAATTAATAACATATTATAATGAAAATGAATTTTCTAGATTAATTATTGACAATTCTTGGTCATGTAGGATGAAGCTTATATATGCCACTAGCTACGACAATTATTGACTTTTATGTAAACCAAAGATGTTTTGTTTCAAGTCCTTACAAGTGATATTTAACATAAAATAGATGTGGGGAAGTAAGTTTCTCCATCATAGTATGTGCATGATTTGGACCTTTTTTTTTGCAACGGCATTGAGGTAATGGCTAATACTCACAGAAATATACTCGTAGAAATATAGATAAAGGGATCATTTCTTGAAGCATCCACTCAGTAGTTGACAGAGTGACTAGTAGGATCCTAGAATCCTAAAAAATACTTTCATCGTCAAATGCCAGGATCATTTTGAAATATCAAAGAGTGAAATTTATTCCGAGTCTTGAACTATGGACTTTGAGTACTATTTTGGGAAAGTCTGGTCATGAGCGGAGTGAGTCGACTTACTTTACAAGGCAAGAGATATATTAAATCAGACGCGTTTAATCGTCTCACATCTGATTTATTCCCATGATTCTATCAATCTAGCAGCCTCCCTCTCGAACCTTCATTTGTGACAATATGTCACACCACACCATTGCATTGAAAATCAGCTTTCCCATCATGAGTTTTCACTTCTACCTTTCGTCCATCTGCGGCACTGTAAAACAGTCTTTCCTATTGTAGCAGTTAGTTCAAAGGATTCATTCCATTCCTAAACTGAACTCAGTCTCAACTATATGTCCAATATCAACTGCCAAATTCAGTTTTTTCTGTATTTTATTTTTTTCTTTCTTAACAGTAAGAGACAAAAATGACTATTTTTTAATCTGCTCGACCATTCACATTTCATTCGATTTGAATCTACTTAAATTCATCTTTACATAGTTTCATGGTAAGCTCTTCAAGCCACCATTCTCATAGAACCAAAATGCTGATCGAAAAATTCCATTCATCCGGTGGCAAGCTAAATCAGGAACACGACATCCATCCCATTTCAGGCCTGCTCATCTGACTTCAGAGACGCTTGTTAACCTATGGAAAGTTGAACCCATTACCATTAGAACATATTCCACTTAATTCTGTCTAGAATTTCTGTACATTTTTTTCTAGTAAATCAACATCCTCTTCTTGCACTCAATTCCCTGCACTCTCTAACAAATTAAAAAAGGTTAAACCTTCTCCATCTCAGTGTGTGGAACCTTCCTCAAACACCAAGATATGTTAGCTTAAAAAATTCAAGGCAAGCTATGTCTTCATCTCAGACAATGTCCACTCACTAAATCGGCGCAACTGAGTCATACAAAGAGCAGTCTGATAATCAGTGCTGAAATAAATCTTACTCAGCTAGGTACTTAGAGTCAAGTACCTTAATTTGATTCGCTTTAAACTCCTTGAACTGCTGACCAAAGATGACTAGCTAAATCTTGTTTCCATTCCTTGCGAAATACATCCCACAGTAGTCAAACATTTCTTTTAAAACCTAATATCTACCCCATTTTGAATATCTACATTTTTCAAAAGATTGCTTATTTAAGTTACTACAAATCTACTTCCTAAAGCTCCAGATATTCCTGCACATGGATTAAAATTCACGTCTACCTTTGATAGTGTGTTAGATTGTTGCTATACTTTTTTAGTAATGCTTTTGACAACCATGATTGCATGGTTTTTAGATACTTTTACCCCAAAGTAGACTGGTCTCAAACTTAAGGGGAGTTTTATTCTAAACAATCACTTTGATAAATCCTTACTACAAATAGCTTAGATCCTTTCACTCTAAATAATTTTCTAATGTTTATTCTTAAAATTTTTATTTGTAAAATGATGACAGCGATTTAAGATAAATCTCTACCTATGAATAGTGTCCAGATATTTCTTTAATCATATTTAGTGAAAGAAAAATAGTTCACTAAATAATGATTCTTTTTATGAACATGATGTATAATGGTATGACTCACTAGGTTTAAGAAATGACAAAGTAAATACTAGTGCAAATTGACTCTTGAACAAGGCTTCTCCATTCAAGGGCATGTGAGGTAAGTCAGATCACCTAATAGGAAAATGCTTAAATTCGATTTATCACTGAAGGGAAACGTTGACTCATAAATGAAGAGAGTTTCAAAATTTGAAAATTTTATACAAGGGTAAAATGATCATTTTAAATTGTTAAATAGTTGAACATTTTCATGACCATATATTAAATTAAAATTTAGTTTTTTTATCTCATGAAATGATTTTATAATTTTAGAGGTGATTATTTTAGATTTTTTTATATTCTATTTTCATTAGAATAAGTGAGTTGACTAAAAGTTTACTCATATTAAAAGTATATGTCAAAGAGGGTAGCAATACAACACAAAATATGAATAAACAAATTGTAATAGTACCTTGAAACCAGCCATGGGGGTGACCATTTTTAGCAGTTTTGAGACCATTCAAAATGCAAAACTCTTAAGAAATGCATCACTATATAAAGATCAAACACCCCACAACCTGAAAGAGGAAAACTCGGTGTAGAAACTCATTTACTTATTTTTCTTAAGCAATCAAGTGGCTGTCTTTCAAAATATCCTTCCATATTTCCATATCTTCGAACTAAAGAATCTATGCAACCATAAGTTATTTGATAAATCCTTAGGTGCATTTATTCTTTATTAGTTATTTTTAGTACTTATGTCAACCTATAGTTCTTTAAGGAATCATCTTTCTCACACTCATTGCCTCCAATGATACTATCTTATGGATCATCCAAAACTTATTAATTCTCATAGTTGATTGATATAACTAGCCATCAGAAATAACTTAATTTATTTTTTTAAAAAATTCATTTGACATCTTTGGGCATGTGTTTCGGGCCTAACTCTTTGGACTGAGCTTGAAAAAGCAGATCTGTAGTGGATTTGATAATGGATGGAGAAGGTCTAGAGATAAGGCACTAGAAGAGATGAACTAATAGGCAAGGAAAATGTGGATGTGCACTATCACATTAGTGGAAGGAATGAATGGGGGTGTGATGGTTTCCAAGGTGATGATAATGTGGACCATTTGATGGGGAGGGGGAGTTATCATTATAAAAGGAGGGGGAGAGAGGAGTGTGAGGCAAACAAGGAGAGGTGTACGAGAGTTCTTGTGGTGACTATTCTCATTTCCATGAGAATAAAGGCTGATTAGTGCTGATGAGGGAGACTAGGGTCGGTCCAGGGTTAGGATCAAAGTGAGTTCAATCCTCACCCCATGTTAATTTGGTATCAGAGCCAGGTTCATGATTGGAGGGGGGGGGATGAAGAGAGAACAATAGGAGAAAGCAAGATGATGGATCAAAGAGTTTATCACTTGGAGGAGTGGATGATTGAGATGACCACCTTGCTGCAATGAAATGGTGATGTGGATCTCCCAACCTGGGGATGTGACATTCCATGTTGGAAGGAGTGTGACTTTGGTAGACCTTTGGATGCCCTTCATGTGCCACAAAAGAAATGTTCAAAACCACATAGTGGATGACTCATTCCACTTACTATAACTCAAGAATTTGCTCCGAAGAACATGGGACATGTTATACCAGATCGTGGGTAACTGTTTGATATTATAGCTTATATAAGAAGAGAATGGGAAGGAGGCAAGGGAAGGAAGTTAATCATCTGGAGTTGGAAGCCAATGAGTGTTTCAAGGGAGATTTGTCATTGGCTTGTGTCTTCCTCTTTCTCTCTCTCTTTCTCTCTCTCTTTCTCTCTCTCTCTCACTCTAGGGTCTTTGTCTCATCCTCTTCCTTGTCACCATTCTATGGAGTTTAAGGAGTTTTGTGAGTTATTGTGGTCTTCGATGTCTTTCCCCTCTTTTAGGGCCATCTGCTAGTGAGGAACAATAAGCATTATCATGAGTCATCAATAGGTTACTATTGACTAATGTTCAGTCAATATTTATTTCCATTACGACTCTATTCTTCTATCTTTCTCCCTCTATTATCTATTATTTTATTCTCTTCCTCTTGAGACTTATTTTTCTCTTTTAGTATCAACATACACTTGAATATCTGAGGAGTTATTGATAATTATAAATTAGTAGTTACATCTGTGCATTAATATCTTATATATAAATGCTAATTAATAGGTAAAGAATATAACTATACATATGTTACGAACTTATTATGACATTCATAATATTTTATCATTTAAGTTCTAATGTATATTATTTGACTTATTTTATTTATATTATGAGATTAATTTCACTTGACTTTTATGAAGTTAAGTGATGATTCTCTCATATTTTTTTAATAATTATTTGATTGCAAAGACTTAGGTGAGCTCTTATTATGAGTTGGAAGTAATGGAAGAAGCTCAAGCTTTCAATCTAATGAAAAGTTCAAGTCTTATGGAGAGGGCCGGCCTAATATATTTTTGGGCTTAAGAGAGGGTGTCATCTTGGCCTAACTCATTTGAACTTAAAATGCTTATCAAGAGATGAGATCTCACCTATCTTAAAACGTCTTAAGATAAGATTAAGAGAAGAATTAGAGTGTCGCCCTCATAGAATGATTTGGGCTGTCCATCAAGAGAGTCGATTATTAATTATAACCATCTATTAGAGGGGCCTAACTCTTGAGAGGATTAAGACATCTCATCCCCCTCTTGGAGGGTACTTTTTGGCTCTCTCTTTAGCAGTGGCTAGTAGAAGGAAATAGGAGAAAAATTAAGGCCTGATCGAAGGCATTCTCATGCCCAAGATCATCGTGGAGAAGAGATTACTTAGAGTGCATCAAGATCGTCACAGATCAAGCATTACTAGGCCTAAGATTGGCATACAACGAGATTTGTGTAAGATCTAAATTTAGAGAATCCTTGTAATCCTCTCTATGGATTGATTAACTTTTAATTTGAACTAGTTTTATCATTTATTCTATCATTTCATTGTGTTAGATTTATTCTTTCCTTTTTGTCATGCTTTTCATAACTCTTGTCTTCATCTTTTTACATTTAATTCTGTCCTTCACAATCTCATGTATATATATATATCTATATAAAAAATAAAATAAAGAGAATTTGTACTCTCATTAACCATGCTCTTTGTGGATCGACCCTTAATTATACTAGATAGAGGAGTGAGGTTTTATAAATATTATTTACATGAGCTTAGTTACATTACTATGACATATTTAACCTCCAATTCTAGTTCATCAGTTATCCTCCTTTTCTAGTTAATGGAGGCATGAGGAGGGTCAACAAAACTTAGGTTTCTATCATTTTGGTATTAGAGCCAATCCTTCCTCTTAGGATGGCACCACATCAATTAGATTTACGTGTTGAGAGAGTTGAAAAGGATCTCAAAGAACTTTGTGAATAATTTTCTCAAATTTTAGACTTAGAATTACATGTGGAGCAATGGTTCAATGTCACGGATGTCATTCTTTCTTAGATTCAACTTGCCCTACAATAGTTGACTTCTCAATAGTATAGTTCAGACATTCCATCTTCATCTGCTGATCTCATCTCTACCCCATCAACGTGTGCCAAAATGACATAGGCATTTGCACCTATAGCTACTCACCTTGGAGCATCAGACCATATAGAGTAAGCCATTGATAAGTCTTCATTATTATGAATTAATAATTAGTAAATAATATAGTTTTAGCGTTAACTCATGATAAATATACTTATATTTGTGTTAAAATGTGAAAAGTAGTTTTCAATTGTCTAGTGTGAATTTTTGGCTAATTATGTAATTTTTTATGAATTTGTATGATTTTTATAGTCTTATTTTTGAGATAAATGAAGAAAAAGAAATTAAAATAAAAATATAACAAAATGGGAGGGACTTGTTGGCCAGTCGGGCCCACAGTGAGTTAGAAGCAGGTTGGAAGCATAATTAGGGGGAGCTACGAGCAGGGGCTCGAGCGACTAGAACTGATGACGGCACGTGTGCGCCACTTTCTTTTCACATCACTAGTGGCCAGCCGACTATAGGACGAGAAGTGGTCGTACATGCGGGAGAAAAGGACTCATTGCTTGGAAATGTGATATTATTATATATTCGCCCAAAACTTCGACGCACAAGTGATGTGGGACTAAACTCACGTCACACCTTCCCTCGAAAGACTTAGAAGATTTTAATACCTAAACTACTCCTTTATTATAACAGAGATATATCATGATGACGTCACTTGATAAGGGTATTAGAGTACTTATTTCAATCTCTCTCATGTAGGTAGGCAACCAGCGTGGGTTTGAATCCTCTCATAGCCAAAATTCATTTTTTTATCTGATTATCCTGACTTTCCTGCAGATCGCCGGTGAAGGATTAAGCCAATAGAATCATTAGATCATCGGTGAAAATCTTGTCAACATGATTCACAGAGCATTGTTACTAAAATTGCTGAACGATTTGTGATATAAAAGAATCACGAATCCATCGAGTAAATCATCTCCGATTAATCGATGAACAAGCTGTCGTCGAGAAGAGGATGATCTACCAGGAGATGAGTCTCCACCTCTTGAAAGCATATCGGATGCGATGAAGAGCCTCCTCTTGTTGCGTAGACTTGAGGATGAAGCTCCCTGACACACGCCACACCACCATCTAGCTCATTTTTGCCAAGTGACAGCCACTAGAGAGCCGTAAAGTTGCTGTTTTTCTACTCTGCCAGGTGACATCCGTCAGAAACGATTCGATGACTCATTTTATTGATCTCTATACTTCACAGGGAGATCTAGAGATTGCCCATATCATCTTTGTCTAAGAAGAGCCTTCGAGGCCATAGATACTACACGACAATCCTTCCGAATACTCAAGATTTCAGTAAATCGCTGATGCATTGCCGCCGCGACATCATAACTCTATTTTCCTACTTTCAACTTAATTTTTGCTTCATTTAGTGATAATTTGTGTGATTTAAATCTACCAAGCTATACTTTATTTAACTATAATTCTTCTAGCTTTTACAGATCTTAATTTGTTCAATTAAATCATTTGTAATAGTTTACGTAAGAATCGCCAGGTAGAACTCTATTTTCGCCCCATTCGCATTCGTTGGGCGCCGACGTCTGCACCTTTATTTTCTTTTTTTGTGAATTTTAAATATATTTTATTTTTATTTCTTAGTGTGAAATTCATAAAAACTTGTATTCTTTGAAGATAATATTAAAAAATTACCTAATATTACATTACATCCCTATGATCAATCTAGAAAATTACCACTATTTTAAAAGTTTTATTGAATTATAATTAATATATTTATTCAAAAATACTTCTAAATATCTAAAAATTAGTATTTTCTAATTTTTTTAAATTTAAATTTACGTGATTTATTATACAACGACTAAGTCACGTCAGCCACTAAATCTTCTTTGGGTACTTTATGGTTAGGGCTTCTAATCTTCTTTGGAACAAATCCTCAAAGATGGTTAAATCATGCCGAGATATTTTTTTCCTTCATCCATAATAGAACACAACTAAAATCATGATGGCCGGCATCAACTTCAATGAGAAAGCCTTACATTGGTTTCAATGGGTGGAGTGCCATGCTCCTTTCTTTAGCTGGCTGGATCTTTGAACTCATCTACTCATTTGTTTTGATTCATCCTCTTATAGAAGCTTGTGTGAGCAGTTGTTTAACCTCCAGCAACTTATCAATGTCGTAGATTATTACATGATTTTCAGATTATGTCCAGCTTGGTGACAGACCTCTTACTAGATGTTTTGAAGGATACTTTTTTAAAGGGATTAAAACCCAAGATATGTGTGAAAATTTGTCTCCACACCCCAATGGACCTTCATCAAATCATGCAAGTTGCTCAACTTATGGAAGAATAAAATATTTTCTTCCAATAATGAACTCACTATTTTTTGCATTCAGCCACCTTGAGCTCTTTGCTTTATTGTGGAGGCTATCCACCAATGTCTCTCAATTGGCTACTTGATGCACCAGCACCACATCTAGCTATTCCTATGGGACAAGTGCATCCTTGACGTCCCCTTCATCTTATTGACATGGAATATCAAGAGAGTGGTTCCAAGGGCCTTTGCTTTGTTTGTAATGAGCTATTTATTCCAAGCCATAAATGCCATAGGGAACTTAGAATCCTTCTTGTTTTAGACAATGAGCTGGCTTTGCAGGTTAAGGATGGTCTATCAATAGCCTCCTCCATAGGCACCTTCATCAACCTAACACTAAGGAACTCATTGAACTCTCGATGTTTTATGTTTTAGGTTTTCAAAACCTTGGTACTATGAAGTTGTGGTGGAAAGTTTTATTTAAGGATTTCGTCGTCATCATCAATTTTGTTGCAAAGATAATTTTATTTCCCCATAACTTATACAAGCATTGGTTATTTCCATCCAATCTAGCCCTCAGTTTGGCATCATCACCAACACTAGCACCTCTATTATGGGCAGTGGTCTTTGCCTTAATGTCTCAATTCAACTATAAGCCCTTATCATTTGGGAAAACTTTCTTCCCCTCCAACTAAGTAATATGGACTATATTCTTAGTAAACAGTGGCTTTGCACTTTTGGGCAAGGTTGAATCTTATTATCACAACCTTATCATGAAATTTTAGCTAGGAGACATGCTAGTTGAATTAAAAAAGAACCCCAATCTCTCTAAGTCTAGGATTTAACTCAAATCTATGGCCGATGAACTACAACACAATCTTTGGGTTCTCATTGGATTCTGCCAACTAATTATTGACCACTCTTCTTCTAACTTAGATGACCAAGAGTCACCCATGTTGTAGTTATTGTATCTTGGAAAATTATTGGGCTCTTGCCTCAGCAAGCTATAGACCATGCCATCAGCCTACTTCTTGACTCTTCTCTAATGTTTATGCAGCCATATTATTACCCCCATATATAGAAGACAAAAATCAAAAATCTTATCAAGGAAATATGTCTAGAAGGAATTATTTAATCATCTACCACCTCATTCTGCAACATAGTCCTTCTAGTTAAGAAGAAAGATGGTAATTGGTATGTCTACATAGATTATTGCTTGTTGAATTGGGTAACAATTCTAAATCACTTTTTTTTTCCATTGTTGATGAACTACTGGATGAACCATATTATGTAATCATTTTTTCTAAGTAAAAAGATGAAGACATCCCAAACCCCTTTTTTAAACTCCTCAATTGTTATGAGTTTTTGGTCATGCCATTTGAATTGTCTAATGCTTCAATGACATTCTAGCCCCTCAAGAATCATATTTTTTGTGATTATTTATGCTAATTTACTATGGTTTTCTTTGATGATATCCTCATATATAGTTGAGATATGTCTTCATGTTGCCAACATTTACAATAAGTCTTCTTCATATTAAAAGCTAATCATCTTTGTATTTGATGTAGAACCAAAGAAAAATATCAGTACTAAAAGAAAGTTGAGATTTAAGATTATCCTTGGCTAAGTTAACGAGGTTTATGAGTAGGATCATAATTATTTGAGAAGAACTGCACATTCAAGGATTCAAATAGAGTTATAACCAAGGGTGTTAGGATCACCAATAAAAGGCATAAAGAGGGCTATTCTATGATTCACTCAGTTCCTACAAAGGATAAAGATATTAAATAATGATCACTCGACAAAGAGACTTGAAATCAACATACTTTGCTGAAGTAGATTCTTGATTGATTTTCTTGATTCTAGTGGCTTGAGATCCATGAGCCTTGTTGGGGATTTTCCAGTAAGTCATGATTCAAGAGAATGGGCAGTTTGGGCTTGGTAACTAAGGTCTATGAAGTATTTAGATAATTAAAAATACAAGAGGGGGAATGTGTAAATGAGCTCTAGTACGAAGATGAAATAGTAGGATAAAATAATGATGAGAATAAAGAAACGAGGGACGGAATGAGAGGACGTCGGAGAGAGAGAGAGAGAAAATGGGGTACGTGGTGGCAGTGGAGAGAGAGGGGGCGTTCTCATGGTGAGGAAAATGTGGATGAATAATTAAATATTAACTAAAGGGACGGAGGGAGAAAAAGGTGGCAGAATGAGAGCGTCAGTAGGACAGAGGAAAAAGTGGGGTTTCGTGGCGACAAGAGGAGAGAGAAAAGGAGAGGGTTTGCGATGGCGAGGAGATGAAATGACGACGACGGGGTGGACAGCAAGGAGCCGGAGTGGCGGCAATGGGGCGGACGGTGAGGAGGTGGGATGATAGTGACGGGGTAGACAGAGAGGAGGCAGGATGATGGCGACGGGGGAGACAGCGAGGAGGCAAGACGATGGCGACGGGGTGACTAGCAAGAATGGGAGTGGTGGCGACGGGGCAGACGACAAGGAGGGGGAATGGCGACGATGGGGTAGATGAGGAGGAAGAGGAACGAGGGCATCAGGGTGAATGGTGAGGAAGCGGAATGGTGGCGATGGGGCAGATGGCGAGAACGCGGAAGGCGGTGATGGGGTAGAAGGTGAGAATGACGTGAAAAGGAAGAGATGGAGGTCCCCCTAATCTAAGAGGGCGAGAAGAAGAGAGGAAGCCCCTAGTCGAAGAGACGATTGAAAGGAGGGGAGGAACGACCTTCTAATCTAAGAAGGTAAGATAAACTTCTTGATTAATTCTGTAAATCACTGTGTCAAATACAACACGAGTCTTAGCCTTTATAGAGGGGAAAGGAAGAGCGGTGGTTGAAGGAGAGAACGAGAAGGATGGGTTGAAGGAGACTTTCTCAAGAGATGCCATGTGGTGCCTCTTGGTTGAAACGACGCCCCATTTAAGGAGAGGAGGGATTTGAGGATGGCATGACATCTTCTCTCCATTCTTCTTCTTTTTCTTGTTGTGCCATTCTTTGTGGATGAATCCTCTTGTTCGCTGGTAGGGACCCATTAGTCTTGAATCTAATATTTCATGTTAGATCTAATAGAGGAGGAAGGTGCCGATTGACTTAGAGGTGAACTCTTTGAGGTGGAAGAACCCTGATTCTTGCACTTCTTCTTGGAAGGGTTGACCTCAAAAGGTTGAACTTCTGATTGACCATCTTCTAATGGTTTGAGATGACTTTCTTGAGTGGAAGGTTCTTCATTGAATCCA